GTTCTTATGCTAGCAATCGCCCTTAGCCTGTTAACCATTTAGCCAAAAGAAAGCTATTACCAGGATAGATCTCTAAATTGCGAGCTGTCAGCCACTTCAGATGACAGTTCTCAGCTGCTGCAAGTTAATCACCTCTGCCAGCCTAAGCAACCATTCAGAGAACAAACTGGCGGCGGGGGGGGGGGTGATGAAGAAGAAGAGGAGATTGGATTTATACCCCGCCCTTCACTTGGAGTCTCAGAGCAGCTTACAAACTCCTCTCCCTTCCCCTCCCCACAACAGACACCCTGTGAGGCAGGTGGGGCTGAGAGAGCTCTTGACATAAACTGCTCTTTCAGGGACAGCTGTGCCAGAGCTTGTGACTGACCCAAGGTCACATCAGTAGGTGCAAGTGGGGAATCAAACCCGGTTCTCCCAGATTAGAGTCTGCACACTTAACCACTACACCAAACTGACTTCTATAGTCAAGAAAGCTAACACTTAGGCAGGAAAACTCTCTTAAAGCATTTATGTTATGTACGTGGACCGCCACCAGGGGTCCACGGAGAGGCCAGAGCTTGGATCCTAGAACAATGGAAACTTCGGATCCTGGATCCCCCAGCCCCAACCAATAGCCACCTTCAAACCCTCCAATGGGAGTGGGGGAGGGTTGCTGGTGGATATGTATATAGTTGGCCCTGTTGGTCATTAGAGTTAGTCTTTGTCTGTGTGAAGTACAATAAACGTGTGCTATAGTATGTCGTTGTCCGAGTCCTCCATGCGGCGAACCCAGTACTTTTCAGTGGCGACGACTTACTGTAGCACACATTTGTTGTACTTCACACAGACAAAGACTAACTCTAACAGCCAACAGGGCCAACTATATACATATCCCCCAGCAACCCCCCCCCCACTCCCATTGGAGGGTTTGAATGTCCCGCCAAGGTGGCTATTGGCTGGGGCTGGGGGATCCAGGATCCAAAGTTTCCATTGTTCTAGGATCCAAGCTCTGGCCTGTCCACAGACCCCTGGTGGCGGTCCATGTACATAACACCCTCCACCTTCAAGCATTGCCAGAGGCCCCTCCCCTGGTCACTGGACGTGGCTGAGGACCCGTGGGGGTGGGGTGGGGCTTGTACTTCCTGAGCTACAGCAGCCTCTGCAACGCCCTGCCCGGTGGTGTCTCCCCTCACCCATGATGGGTCTGGGCGTGGCTGCCTCTCACCCTGACCTCATTTCCTCTCCCCGCCTGCCACCTCTGCTGCTTCTGGAGAGCTGACCTAACCTCTCACCTTTCACCCTCGGGCAGGTGGGGAGGGGGGCTGTTTCCAGGCTCTGTCGTTCTTCCTCCGGCCACGGCCAACCTGGAAGAAACTTGAATGAGACCAAAACGGTGTCCATGCCACCCTTCAAGGATCCCGTCAGGAAAAGTTTTTAAACGTTATTTTAAAAATGGCATGTACCTGTTTTTGGAAAAGAAGTCCATTCGTTAGCTGTGGAATTATTCTCTTTTTAAAAATTGTTGCAGAGGGTAGCTGGGTTGCGAAGGTGGCAGTCCCGGAGCACCCAAACACTTGCCCAGAGCTCGGCACCTGAGCAGGGTTGGGAGGCCGGCGAGGGAGTCCAGGGTCGCTCGGCAGAAGCAGAGGCTGCGGCAAACCATCTCCAAACATTTCTTGCCTTGAACGTCCCAAACGGTCCCCATGAGTCAGCTGTGACTTGATGGCCAAAGGGGGGAAAGCACCTTGGAGCCCAAAAATGAGTTTGGGGGTAGAAGCTTTTGAGGTTCAAAGCTCCATTCGTCAGATCTCAGGCTCCCTTTTTGTAACACACACTCACTTTGCACCCTCGAATGGCTGCAGGTGGCGAAGGAGAAGCTCTCTGCACAGTTCATTCTCCAATGTTGGATCAAATACCCTTCCTAATAATCCCCAGCATAGCATTGGCCTTCTTTATTGCAGTCACACACTGTCTCGACATTTTCAGTGAGTTATCCACTACAACTCCAAGATCTCTCTCTTGCTCAGTCTCTGCCAGTTCAGACCCCATCAATGTGTATTTATATTTAGGATTTTTGGCTCCAATGTGCATCACCTTGCACTTGGCCACATTGAACCCCATTTGCCATGTTGACGCCCACTCGCCCATCCTTGACAGATCCCCTTGGAGTGCCTCACAATCCTCACTGGTTTTCACCACCCTGAACAACTTTGTATCATCCGCAAATTTAGCCACTTCACTGCTTACTCCCATCTCCAAATCATTAATGAACAAGTTAAAAAGCAGTGGACCAAGTACTGATCCCTGCGGTACCCCACTGCTTACCACCCTCCACTGAGAAAATTGCCCACCTACACTCACTCTCTGTTTTCTATGAACTAGCCAGTTTTTGATCCATAAAAGGACTTGTCCTTCTATCCCATGATTTTTGAGCTTACTTAGGAGCCTTTGATGAGGAACTTTATCAAAAGCTTTCTGGAAGTCAAGGTAAATAATATCTATTGGATCCCCCTTGTCCACATGTTTGTTCACCCCCTCAAAGAACACTAACAGGTTAGTGAGACAAGATCTTCCCTTACAGATTAGTGAGACATTGGCTCAATGTTCCTTATGATGTCTCTTCTCTGTAATGCTTTTTGCTTTTGATTCTGTATGCTGTTTAATGGGTCTCTGACCATAATAAAAATGAATAAGTGAATGAATGCTACAGGCAAGGTGTCTCTGGCAGAATGAGGCCTCCCACCCAGCCCTCAGGACATTCCAGACCTCTCAGTCTAAAACATTCGCTCAGCACTGGAGAGCAATATCTGGAATGACTGGGGAAGAAGAGAAGGATAATGTACTTGTTTTACTGAACACGGCCTCTGGCAATGCTCTTTCAGGGACAGCTATGCCAGAGCTTGTGACTGACCCAAGGACATCCAGCCAGGTGCAAGTGGAGGAGTGGGGAATCCAACCCGGCTCTCCCAGATTAGAGTCCGCGCACTTAACCACGACATCAAACTGGCTCTCACGTGTTTCATTCTTCTAGCAAAAGACATGTGAGAAGGGAGAAGTCAAATTGCTCCCCAGCATCGGACACAAAAGCTTTGGAAATGCTAATGGCCATCCTAGCCAGAGGAAAATGAAGCGGTCAGCTCACACCTTGGCTGGAACTTGACACCTAGACTCTGACACAAATCCTTGGGGTTGTGAGGGGGGGCTAGATTGTCTTTTCCTGGAGGTTTCAGGGAGAAATCAGGGTTAGGGTGGCATGGCTCACAAGTCCATCTCGTCCTTTGTTGTGTGTGCAGAGCGATTATTAGGAAGGGAACTGAAAACAAACCAGCCAGTATTATAAGGCCCCTGTATAAATTGATGGTGAAGCCTCATTTGGAATACTGTGTACAGTTCTGGTCACCGCACCTCAAAAAAATATTATAGCATTGGAAAAAGTGCAGAAAAGGGCAACTCGAATGATAAAAGGGGACAGAACACTTTCCCTTTGAAGACAGATGAAAGGGGTTAGGGCTCTTTAGCTTGGAGAAACGACTGAGGGGGGACATGGGATAGAGAAGGTAGAGAAATAAGTACTTTCCCCCCTTTCCAACAAAACAAGAACTCGTGAGCACTCCATGAAATTAATGAGCCCTAGGCTTAGAACAGATGAAAGGAAGTCCTTATTCACCCAAAGAGTAATTAACACGTGGAATTCACTGCCCCAGGAAGTGGTGGTGGCTACAAGGACAGACAGCTGCAAGAGGGGACTGCATAAACATACAGAGAGCAGAGGTCCATCTGTGGCTATTAGCTACAAGGTATAGACAGAACACTATGTCTGGGGCAGAACAAAATTTGAGTCCAGTGGCACCTATAAGACCAACAAAGTTTTATTTATGGTATAAGCTTTCTTGTGCAAGCACACTTCCTCAGATGTCTGGGACAAGGGATGCTCTGTATTCTTGGTGCTTGGGGGGGCAACAGTGGGAGGGCTCCTAGTGTCATCTGGCCCCCCTGATGGCCCCTGGGTTTTGGCCACCATGACACAGAGTGTTGGACCGGATGGGGCCTGATCCAACATTGGCTTCTCTTATGTTCTTGTGGGCTGGGCTGCCCCTTGCCCTGGTGAGGCTAGGTTGGACGAAGGGTGTGTCCCTTGCCAGTAGGAGCACTCCTTCACCGTGCCTCTGCCCACTCTTCTGGCTGGTGTCCTGGGCAGGGGCCATCAGCCCACGGGACTCTTCCTGGTCGCCTTAATGGCAAATCCACCCTTGATCTTTTGCCAATAACATCACACAAAAAAGACAAGATTTCAAGTTTCTCATTGGAAAACAAATGAACAGAGTAAAAGTAGTGGTTTCCTTTCAGAATAAAAAACAAAGGCCATGTAATGCTTTTTATTAAGACCAACCAACATAACACAACATAGTGTGCAAGCCTTCACATTCTCCAGAACTCTTCATTGGGCTGAATGATCAAAAGGGGGGGGGGGAGGCATCTTTCAGGCTTTGGTCAGTATCCTTCTTGGCTGTTTTGCTGACTGCAGTGGGCCCAGGAAAAGAGGATGGGGGGGGGGCCTGCCAGGAGTAGATAAAGAGAATGGGGGGGGGGGGAAAGGACTGTGCAAGTCCTTGCAAGTTCCCCACTTGTAAATTCCTATTTTGCAATTTTAGGTAACAGAATTTCGTACCCACCCAAAATACACAGATTGAAAAAGCCAAAACACACAGAACATCTCAAATGTTTACAAAGCTCTCGTGAAGTCTGGGGAGTCACACTCACAGCGCTCTCTGGAGTCATTCTGACAGGGCTGCATCCAGAATCATCACTTCGAGGGCCGTACCGTCCAGGGGCATTTTGAGCACGGCGCAGCAGCAGCAGCAGGGACTTTTTGGAGCCACTTTGGTGGAGACGGAAGGCACGCGGAAGTGTAGGAAGGAGGATGGCCACGAGGGGGCAAACCCGTCCCATCCTTGACCCACATTGTGGCGTTCGGGGAGGGCGCATCCCCCCCCCCCTTGCAGGCAACAGGTGATTCTGGGCGCGCGCTCGCCAGCTGGAGCCAGTGAGCCGGAGCGGGGAGCGAGAGCGGGCACAGGCGCTCCCGTCCCGTCAGGTAAGGCGTCTGTCTGGGGGGCGGGGGCCTCTGCCTCGAAGCTCTCGCTGCTCTCCTGCCGACCAGCAGCCCCGCTGCCCTACCAGACGATCCCGAGGTCAGGGAAGGAAGAGCCACTCGGGGGGGGGGGGGGGGCAGCCGGGGGGTGCCC